GGAGAGAGAGAGAGAGAGAGAGAGAGAGAGAGAGTAGTATATATATATATATATATATATATATATATATATATATATATATATATATATATATTGATTAAATAATTGTATATTATATATATTTAATTATAATATATGGCAAGAGAGATTGAAAAAGGGAGGAGAGAGGCGAGCGAAATCGAGAGAGGGTGGAGCGACGCGAGCGAGAGAGGGCAGAGAGTGGGAGAGAGTTGAATTGTATATGTATTAGAATTGTATATTATGCATATACATTTGTATAAATGACAAGCGAAATTGGGAGTGGGAGGAGAGAGGCGAGCGAGATTGAGAGAGGGAGCAGAGAGGCGAGCGAGAGAGGCAGAGAGTTGGAATTGTATATGTATATAAGCAAAAAAATTGTATATTATACATATTTATTTGTATATTCTGACGAATTATACATATACAAACATGACTAATTCTACAAACTCGAAGTCAACCCACGTAATTACTGTATATTGTTAATCTCAAAAGGTAATTATAGCTATGATGAGTAATAAATAGTATAAATTTGCTTATCAATACTCATGATCTGTATATTTCAGGTCACATTATATTTTCTTTTTTTTGTGTCATCTCTGCAGAATATATAAGACAGATCAGCCAAGCAGACGTTAGTGTTGCCCAAAAATACAGGAAAACAAGCTTCTTTACAAATGTGTACTAAAATTTGCTACCACAAGTAAAATCCATTCGCTTATTTATTTGTTGTCACAGAAACAAAAGAACAGTATAGGAAACAATTTTTTCTATTGAATTCAATTGCTAAAACTACTCTGACGAATTACAAACATTATAGTAGGAAAATTTTCTAAACCATACCGACTTCTAAAGTTCTCATTTAGCTCAATTCGATAAAAAGGCTGGCCTGAGGATGTAATCCGGCATCTTTCAGGGACAAACTGAGCTTCTCTGAACCATATACAGTGCGAGGGAAGTTGGATACAAGACTGTAGTTCTCAACCGCTAGGCATCCTAGAGAATCGACATAGTCATACAACGACTGTAATGTTGTAGTACAATGAAATCTCCTCTCCTTGCGCTCTCCAGTAGGAAACCGTACCAAAACCTGAATTATCCAAATTAATTACGACAACAGTATGAACACCTTTCTGTTCACTGAGGGATTCAGTTTCAGTTATGCACTTTGTCCCCTCTCCCTCCCTCGAGTTATATGCATTTAACATGAACTTTCTACTCAAAATTAAGCCAGTTATACATAATTTCCAACCTTGAGCACTAAAATCTTTAAATCAAATCAATGAGACTCCATAGAAAACACTCTAGCTCCATAGAAAACACTCTAGAACATCCAATAGAATGAAACAAAATATTGGTAAGCAACAGAGGAGCATCAAGAAATAAAATCAGGTATGAGCAGTAATGCTTCAATCTTTACCGGAAAACCATGTCTTTCACCAAAATTCAGGGGGGGGGGGGAGGCAGCCCGCTGCACAAAGCATCCTGCTTAAGCAAGTTACGGGAAAGGGCCGAACCCCAAGGGGTGTAATATAGACAACCTACCCTAATGCAAACATTAGTGGCTGCTTCCACAGCTCAAACCCATGACCTATTGGTCAAATAGATACAGCTTTACTATTGCTGCAAGGATCCCCTTATTACCAATATCTGTAATAATGATTTTTTTTTTGGTACAATGAAAACCAAGAGAAACATGATTACCTGGGTAACATCAGGACCCTTCTCAGGTTCAGGGCCCAATGACAATAGCTTCTCCTGGCGTATTTTTACTAATGCAGCTTCTCTTTCAGCAGCTTCATGTGCTGCTCTTTCCCGGGCCTCTTCTTCCTCCTTTCTTTTCCTTTCAGCTTCAGCAGCTTCCCTCTCCAGCCTCTCTTGCTCTTCTATCCTCTGGCGCTCTCTAGCCTAGTAAAGGGCAAACAGTTGATCAGTGTAAAGCTTTTTCCCCATAACAAAGTAACTTGAAGAGAGGGAATGCATATTTGGATCCTAAAAGCACTTACTTGATCAGCTTCTAGTGCAGCACGATAAGCAGCATCTTGCTCCTCCCTCAAACGTATATTGTTTCTTCTTTCTTCTGCCTCAACCCTGGCTGTGACAAGCACGGGGGCACTTTCCTCGATTACTCTTTGCAGTACTGTAAGCAATTCTTCGGGAGATTTTGGCCCTTCTGCCTACAGTGTTGTTCACCAAAATAAGTACACAAGTTATCGGGCTAGAAGAAGATCAATGAAGCAAGTTCATTTTTCCACACACAAAGAAGTCATTGAGACAAGTGTGCTTCCTTCAGAAAATAGTAGTACCAACTATAGTATGACAGATCTAGGTTGCCCTTTTCTTTTTGTGTGGGACTCTTTACCTTTTTGTGTGCGACTCTTATGTGGCAAATATAGCATCAATTGGTTTTTAACACATTAGGCCACAAGCCTAATAGCATTCTGTAGCTAGCTAGCAAAAAGGCATTAAGTGGAACAAACACAAAAAAGGAAGCATATGCACTAGGACATAGAATAGATTAGTGAAATACACACAAACATGAGTCAACAGTTACAAAGTGCTAAATCATGTAATCTTTTTCAAAGTAACAGTTAAAGGGGAGAGGCAGCCAGCCCTTGGATCCGAAGAAAACAATTATAATCCAGACTAGAACATTCACTTGCTTACATCGGATTATAATACTCAACCTACAGAAATAAGGAACACAACATGCTCAAGGGCATGAATGAAAAACAGCTAATATCATGAGAATATACATTTTGCCTCAATGAACTTGTACAGAAAATCCATCAATGAGGAATATTAGAGCAGTAGCATAATCTTTGGTCTGTCTATTATTTACCATAGTAGGCGGACTCCTTTTCATAGGCACAATATTCTACATTGTAATATCTCAGCAATAAGGAATATGACAAGCACAACTTTCCAACAAACAATGAGGTCACTTTTAACAATTCATGTACAAACTGATCCCTACAAAACTATTAACTAATCCTGCATTACTAGTTCCTGTGATACTAATCCCTATCTAACTTCTCTTTGAACCAAACAACCCCTTAAGGTTCAACTATTTGTTAAGCATATCTTGGAGAACTGAAATGGAATCCAATAACTTTTTAGGACACATAACAATGGCTAAACTAACCTTTCAGAAAGAGTGGATACTCTTGGGGCAGAAGAAGATGGAAGGAAAGACACTAATAGAAGCAATTTCAATTATTTGAAAGATATAAATGTTGTATACATGAATGGGAATCTTTATCAAATTAGTCGCAAGGGAAAAAGGACAAATTTACCCCTGAACTTTGATAAATGGTACATCTATGCCCTTGCGTCCATCTCAGCCCCTGCCCTTCAATTATCGGTACACACATGCCCCTCTCACTAACGGCCCCCTCATTCTGCACACGAGTCTAAATCCGAAGCAACTATCCGTTTGACCATTGTTTTTAACCAATAAACTAACAACCCACCCCATAAACCCAATACCACCCGATTCCCTCTAAAATATTCCAAGTCAATTAAAGACCAAAATATTCCAAGTCTCGTTCGTATCTCACAAACCCTAGCCTTCATCATTGTAAAGTTCATCGATTTCATAGTTTTTTTGGTCGATTCCACCGCCAGTTCGTCATATCATTGAGACCCAGTCAAAGGTACCCATCGATTTCATGGTTTTCCTTGGTCGATTCCACCGCGTGTTCTTCGATTCATCGTGTAGTCGTCATATCATTGAGATCCGATCAAAGGTACCTGTCAATTTCATAGTTTTTCTTGGTCGATTCCACCGCATGTTTGTCGATTCAACGTGTGTTCGTCATATCAGTGAGATCTGGTCAAAGGTACCCAAATATTCTAAGTCACTTTCGTATCTCACATTTTTTTTCTGTTTTTGATTTGCATCAATAGGTAGTAAAAAAATGTGTTGCTGCGTTTTGTTTTTCAATTATTTCTATAGTTATTGTGTAGAATATGTTTTTTATAGTGAAAATGAAGTTCACTTTCTAGGGTTTCACGTATCCGAAAAATGAAGTTTGTTTTCTAGGGTTTCACTTAAGAGTATTTTTATGTTGTTTGTTAGACTTTCGTGCAACTTTTTGTTAAAAAATGTTTGTTTTTTTTTGTATTAAGATTAGTTGGTTTGGTAATGTCATTTTATGTTCCTTTAGTTTCAGATTCCACTGACATTATTTCATCACTTTGTCTTCATGTCTACTTTATTCAATTACTTTGTCTTCATGCTTTATGTTGTAGGTCCATAAAAAATAATTGATTGTTATTTAATTGTTAATTACAAACGGTAGACAGTCCACTTGTTTAATTGTTAATTGGAACCTATTAATTACTAACTGTGACTTACTAACTTACTATGCGACTGCGACTTACTAATTTTCAATGTGACTTTGACTTACTAACTTACAATGTTATTGTGACTTACTAACTAATTCCTAATTGACTTAATAAATAACTAATGTGAATGTTGCATAGTTAGCTAATAACTAACAAGTTATTAACTAACTAATGTAAATGTTACAAATGTTGCATAGTTAGTTATTACTCACTCCATTTCATATCAAGTTAATTTTTGAGGCATTTTCATTTTTCAAATTAATTTAAATGTTCAGTTTTCAAGCTACTTTTAGAGTGTTCTTTCAATTTTTTCCTTCATTAATTAGTATTGGAATTAGTGATTAACTAATTTTTAGTTATTTTAATCATAAATTTGACAATAATTAATAAGGGTAAAAATGAAAAACTAAGTTCAATTTATGTTTTAATCTACTTAAATAAAGGGTGTGAAACACCTAAAAATTAACTTAATATGCAATGGAGGGAGTAACTAACTATGCAACATTCACATTAGTTTAGTTATTAACTAACTATGCAACATTTGCAATATTCATATTAGTTAGTTATTAAATCAATTAGGAATTAGTTAGCAAGTCAAAGTAACATAGTAAGTTAGTAAGTCACAGTTAATAAGTCACAGTTACATAAAAAGTTAGTAAATCACAGTCACATACTAATTTAGTAAGTCACACTTAGTAATTAACAAAGATCCCAATTAACAATTAATCAAGCAGTCCACGTTTAGTAATTAACAATTAAACAAGTGGTCCTACAGTTAGAATGAAATTAATAACAATTAATTATTTCTTATGGACCTACAACATAAAGGCATGAAGACAAAGTAATGGATAAAGTAGACATATGAAGACAAAATAATAGAATAAAGTCGGCGGAATCTGAAACTAAAGGAATAGAAAATGAAATTACCACACCAACAAATAAATACAAAAAAATTATTTGTTTGACAAAAAGTTGCCAAAAGCTAACAAGCAACATAAAAATACTCTAAAGTGAAACCCTCGAAAACAAACTTCATTTTTCGAATAAGTGAAACCCTAAAACGTGAACTTCATTTTCACTGTAAAAAGCATATTCTACACAAAAGCTAAAGAAACAAATGAAAAGTGAAAAGCAAAACGCAACAACACATTTCTTTACTACCTATGAATGCAAATCAAAAAAGGAAAACAATATATGTGAGATACGAAAGTGACTTAGGATCTCAGTGATATGACGAACACAAAATGAATAAACGAACATGTAGTGAAAACCAAGAAAAAATATGAAATCAACGAGCTTACACTGATGAAGGCTAGGATTTGTGAGATACGAACGAGACTTAAAATATTTGGGTCTTTTAATTGACTTAAGGATGTTTGAGAGGAAATTGGGTAGGTACTGGATTTATGGGGCGGGTTGTTGGTTTATGGGTTAAAAGCAATGGTCAAACAGGTATTTGCTTAGGATTTAGACACGTGTAAGGAATGAGGGGGCGTTAGTGAGAGGGGCATGTGTGTACCGATAATTGGACAGCAGGGGCTAAGATGAAACGCAAAGTATAACGGAGGGCATAGGCGTACCATTTATCAAATTTCAAGGGTAAATTTGTCTTCTTTTCCTAATCACAATTGCCTCTAATAATAAACCGAGAATATATTCTACAAGTGTGTTATGTTTGCTCCTTATCAAAACAAAGAAAGTGTGATGTTTTGCCTAGCATGTTAATTCTTCGAACTCGTTTAGCCATACACATTCCCAAAAATATTTGGAAAAAAACTTGGCAAATATAGTTTGGCCATACAACTTGCCATTATTTGGCAAATATTTTTGGCATACAATCCAAATTCACAAATACTAGAAAAAACTAGTATTTGTGCCAAATTATATTATTTGGAAACTCTAAGGGTTGAAAATTACCCCATAGGCTCATACTTTTATGTTTTATATAAACACCCATCATTTATAATTTTGGACCGAAATTCAGTCCTAGTTCATTGTAACAAATTTATACAGTTATATACATATTTTATACAGTTTTTATTCGAGCATGCTCTCTGAAGTCACTTTCAATCACAAGTAGTAATAGTAGTTTTCGCATACAAATCAATGGTATTTTCCTTTTCTTTTCTCCCTCTCTTTTCAGATTCATATTAATTGTTCTTGTTGTCATGTTATTTCACGAAACATGAAATGATAATAAAAACTTATGAATATTTTTAGTAGCCTTGTGGAGCTTATGGGTATAAATCATATTTCTTTAAAAAGTCAAATATTTCCTCCAAAATTTATGGCCAACTGTATTGTGAAACTTCACTCAAAAATGACTTGCCAAAAGTATTTGAAAATTTATGGTCAAATACTAGCTTCATATAAATGATAATGGAAGTCAGAATCAGTTGACCTTTAATGACAAAAAAAATACCATGAGAACAAGGTAAACAAACTACAAGAAACGGGGAGGACAATATGTTTAACAAATTGACCATATACCATTTCAAACAGTAAGTCCACACTAAAATCATTCTGAGAAAATATGTAAGCATCAAAAGGCATGCAGGTTTTCAAATTCATTGTGAATAAATTAGTTGTATTCTCCTATTCTCACCTTAATCTCATTCCTTTGTACAACCATGTGACTAGTAAACTTACTTTTTCTACCTTTTAAATGAATATTATATACTCTAGCATTCCATCTTTACTATTATATTACTTCAATAGGAGGTCATTTAGGTTTATGCAACTTATTTTGAAACAAGTACCAAATAATTTCAGGTCATTGAGCATACTGAACCAAAAGGATATAAGATTGTTCATTCAAACATGAAGGCAATGGTGTAATTAGCTTGCCCGAACGCGAGTGCGTGTGTCCATTTTTATGTGGATCTAGAGGTTGGATCCTTCGTGATCTAAATTTAAGGATACGGATGTGTGCAAGAGATAGGAATTCGGCTAAAAATAATACAAAGATCTAAGAATAGAGTTATATGTTTAACTAATGACATTATGCGAATAACAAGGTCTTTTGAGGAGAATCCCAAAAGGATATAGAAGGAAAAGAATAGACATAGAAGTTCCTACGTACAAGCTATTCCATTTTCTTTAATTTCACCTTATTATTTTTTTAATTTTCAGAAACATAGGTATGAGTCCCAAATTTCTCCAGCGATTTTAATCAACAATCCAAAATTGGTTGACCAAATCCATTACCAATCCCACACCCACGTCGTGTTGACATGAGTGCAACACCAAAAGTGAAGTCTAAGCAACTTATTCCATCGACCTTTGCATATAGTGAGCCATATTAGAACCCGGGATTGGTTTATAATACCAATGAAAATGACACTTTAGATTAAGAAGTGTGGATGGATTACCATAAATGTCTTGAGAAGATGGTCCACGCTGAAGCAACACAAGATGTACTGGTCATTGAGCTTCGTAAGTACAAAATAGCAGATGGGGTGTTTGGTTGCGTTCAGCTTTAGGAATTAGGTAGAGTTACTTGGTTTAGTTGTCTTTATAGTGTAAAGTAAATTGACTCATTTATACTTATTTACCTTTAAATTTATTTTTATATAGTTGACTTGGTGGTAGTCAAACTAGTTTGCCATGAAAGTATTAAGTCTAACTTGTAGCTCATTCTGATGAGAGCAAAATTGGAGTGCGTTTGAGCATGTGAGAAGAAGATCTGTTATATTTTAATTTCTATATTACGTTATTATTAGTATCTATCAATTACGCCTTCCAAACACTGGGTATGCTCAGGAATCACATTATTTATGGGGAAAATATGATCAAATTAAAAGTATGGGGAGCTAGACTTTTGTGCTACCAAGGAGGTCAATGACTCATATGGTGAAACTGTTTTTTTTATGTTAACGAAATTAAATGATATTAGAAAGCATCAAGAAGATGCAAAGTCACAAAGCACAATGTGCAAGAAAGCTGCTACAAACAGCAATATATGGAGCTAGCTTGGCAAAAACTTGAGAAACAGTCAAAAGGGCCCTAACTACTCTACTGTACTAGAGATAGGGAACTAACAAAATCCAAAAAGTTATCCACATTGTTTACAGTGGCAAAAAAATGCCAACTAAATAAACTAACTAGACATTTGGGCTCAATCAGAGCATGATGGCCTTTCTTAAAGAGCCCCTTTGTTATCAAAGTATATAATGGAAAACAAAACAATTTTCTGGAAAGAAAGGTGGTTGGGAAACAAAAATTTGGATGAGCTATTTCCTGAAACGTTTGCTCTAGCACAACATCAGAACACAACAGCGGCTGAAATGTGGTCATCTCATGACCGGGAGTTGATTCTCAAAAGAATGTTAATGAGTTGGAAATACCTAGACTAGTTCATCTTTATAAACATTTGTAATCTTTCCAATGACTGAAGGAGGAGGTGGACTGCTTGTGGTGGACTGGACATAATAAGGGGCAATACAACGTGAGTTCAGGCTATAAGATCATGAACATGACTGAGCCCCAGACCTCTAAGTGCCTTTGGAGACAACTTTGGTAAGTTAAGATACCTCCTAAGGTTGCATGTTTTACATGGCTGCAAGCCAAAGAGGCTGTTTTGACACATGAAAACTTGAAAAAGAGAAGTATTATCTTAGTTCCAAATTGATGCTTATGTGGGAAAGCAGCTGAGACAGTAGGACATCTGTTTTTACCCTGCAGCATTACTCATCAGCTGTACAAGATTTTTATCCATCTCGGAGGCATATCATGGACAATGCCTAGCAAGATTGATGACACTCTTTCTATCTGGGAGGACGCTGGGATTGGGGCAAGGAATAGAAGCTACTGGAGGATCATTCCAGCTGCATATGGTGGAATATATGGAAAGGATAAAAGTAGAACTCCATAGAAGATCAAGCAAGACTGTATTTTGCTATCATGTTTTTGGTGTGCAAAGAATTCCTCTGTAAATGCAGAATCAAACTAGAAGTCTTTGACTGGTGCTACGAATTTATTTTCATAGCTTCTTAGTGTTCATGGTTTTATTTTGTAGAGGGGTTTACAGAACTACCTAAATATCGGTTTACAATACAAATTTGTTACTTGTGGTCATCCATAAAGTCTAAAATTTATTAAAGGGGAAAAAATTACAAGTGGGCAATGGGAGGGTAGGGTGTAAGCATACCTTACCAACATTTGCAAGGTAGAGATGTTGTTTCCTCATAAAGTGTTTTTATTAAACGTTTGAGCATTTTGCAGTAAGCATGTCAATAATATAACTACAGTATCAAACCAAATAAGTTCACGGAAATTTCCAAGGCTAAGTAGGACTAGTGGCATAAATTGTCATACCTGCTGAAGCAGAGCAATCCTCTGGTTTGTTGCAGCCATTACAACAGCACAAAAGGGAAACCTTGACGCCTTCAAGCTATTACTCATCTTAAAACCTTCACTAGCTCTAATACTCCCACCCCAAGCAACAAAGTTCTCATTAATAAACGCCACCAAATCCTCATTACATAGCGTCCTCTCACAAAACACAGGCGTATCTGGATGATCCGGCGAATGCAAATAAACAAACAGTACCTTATACTCATTCCTAGACCTCTGCAATGCATCCATAAAACCTTCAGCAACAAAATTCGGCCTTATACTACCAAAATCCCTCTCGAAGCACGCAACAAAATCCATAGCTTCTGATACCGCTGCAGATACCGACAACAAACGTGTCGACGACGACGACTCACCATTCCGTCCCGAATTCAGCCCAATCATACCTAACCCATACGATAGAACACCACTAACCGCCCACACGCCAAATCCAACCGCACCTGAAACTAACCCTAAACTACCTGAAATAATTGAAAACGGCAACGTAACAATCTTCCAAGCAAGCCCCGGCGGACCACCAGCAGCACCAACAAGTCCGGTTTCTACTTGTTCAGGATTCGTGCTAGAAGTAGTAGCTTCAGATGCATCTGCATCAGCAGCAGCACGAGGATTGGAAGTGAAATTTGATAACGCTAATTCGAGATCCCAATTATGTGCAGTGAGAATCTCCGCACACAAATCGGGATCATCAAGTCCAGTAATCGCTTGAAAATAAGCAACTTTATCAGCTACATCGCCCATTTCTGATCTCTCCTACTCCAAATTCTTCCGATTATGCTTACAATTTCTGAAGAAGTTTAGGGTTTTGACTACTACCTGTTCGATGAAATGTCCAGGAGAAAGTGAAATTGAGAACGATGGAAATGAATTCATTTATATGCAGAAATACCCCTGACCTTTCTTGGGAATAACAAATTTGCCATTCCCCATGCTTTTCAGACGCGCGTAAAGATAAGAGGCCAATCATGCTTAATATGACGTCGTTTGATTTTCTATAACAACGTCATCGTATGGCGTGTAATTATACTTTGTTTCTACTCTCTGTCCCTAATTACTTGTTCATATATTTTTTATATTTGTTCCTATTTACTTGTCCATTTTAATAAATCAAGAAAGGATAACAATTTTTTTTCTAATATGTCCTTATTTAATTAATAGAAAATTTCTAGTATTACTAAGTTATAATGCATGATTTTTGAAACCAGAAAATACATTTATTATACCTCGGGAGTTGCGTAACCTTTTAAGTTAAAGAGTAAAAATTATAACTAACATATGATAGTAATTGGTTTCTTAATATGTGTATCACTTCTAAAGTGAACAATTAAATAGAAAAAGATGGAATATTTATATATCACCATTTTAGATTTCACAGTCTTTTAAAAAGTCATATTCATAACTCTCAAAGTTAATAACTCTCAAGGATAAAACAAGAAAAATAATGTCATTGTTATATTGATTATGATCATTATCATCATAATTAAATAATGGAGTTTGACTAGATACAAAATCTTTGAATGAAGGGAGCTTGGTAAACTTGTGATCTAATTACTCTCCTCGTTCTTATTTAATCATCATCATTTTAAGTTTCACGCTCCTCAATAAATTAGGCTAGTTTACTATTTTATCCTTATTTTTATTGTTTTCTTGAAGTGAATTTTTCAATAAATGAGCATGAAATTAATTTGTTTTAATTAATTAATTTGACTAATAAACATGAATAAAATAATTCATGCTTAATACTCTATAGAATAAAATAGGAAAAATATTATCTTTTATCCATTAACTAGTGAACTTAGCCGCGCTTTGCGCGATAAAAAATTACTCGTTAAATTTGCTAAATAATTAATTTTTTGAATAGTTGATTACTAAATATATTTCTAAAGATTCTTTATAGTCTTTAATCTAAATATATCAAATTTTAAGTCTTAATTAAGTTTATTATTAAAACTTAAATTTTATATCTTTTGTAATTTGAAATCGCTTAAGAATTTTCGAAATTATAAAAAAAATCCTAAATTTATTCTCTTTATTTTAATAAGAAAAATAAATTTAATGTAATAAGTTGAACTCTTTATGAAATTTAAATTTAATTTAATAATATAATAAGCTTAATGTAAATATAGTTTTTTTCTAATATCTATTCTTTTCCTTCAAAAGTATTATACTTTCCTTTAGTAATGAATTTTTTTTTCA